AAACCTTTAACACCGCCATGAAGTAAGCAACGAAAACTAGAAAATTTAGAACTTAGAATTGTGCAGTTTTTGTATATAACTGGAACTTTTGTGCAATCGTTTGGCCTTTCTTCACTCACTGCTTGCTTGGCTGGAAAACAATTGGAGTTGGTTTGTGTGTTGGCTTCTGATGCTGTGGGATCGGCTTCTCGTGATAGGCCCGGACCGCTTCTTTCGGATAGTCCTTGTTCGTCTAAATCATTTAGTTTATAAGAAAGAATTCGAAAAGCAATCGCATTTTTGGCTTATTTTTAATCGCGCAGAATAGCTCAGTATAAGAGGATTTAAATGTAAAATGTAGGAATGGTATATAAGGTAGTGATGAATGCTTCGATCTGTCCAGTTCTATGCATCCTGTTCTGGAATCACAACTGCACTTCAGTACAGTGACTTTTGCTGTGGTAAACCCCGCCGTAAATTAACTTTGCTGTTTTTGAAAAACGGAAGCACCCACAAGTAGCCTGGGTGGTAGTAGTTGCCGATAGTAGAGAGTGATAATCACGACTGTTGATAGTTGACGTGGATAGACGAATTTGATTCTACTGGATTAACGGATTTAATGGATTGAAGCGAGCCGATGACTGATTTTTTAACATGCGCCAGTTCCAATTAGCCAGCAAACGAAATGAACGAATTGTGGAGGGATTGGTTGTCCTACTGGTGCAGTTGAATCCTCAACTTGGGTATAGGACTCCTCCTCTGCCATGCACGCAAGCATTTTTATGTACTTTAATTAAAGTATATAAAAATATGTATATACTTACATTAGTAAAACAGAAATAAGCCTGAAGTAGCTGCCAGCATGCCACTGATTGCATCTTGCTTTGTTCTTGTAGAAAGGTACGTCGGAATGTGACAAAAGAAACATATATTAATAATTATGAACTCTGATTTCTGTAAGAAGGGATCGAGAAATATACACCTACCTGAGCGGCAAGTCCAGTGTGTGCGAGGATATTCCTCGATTCAACAACAGCAGCATCATCAGCAGCAGCGTTGTCCTGCGTTTCCTGTACCGCTTTCTCCTGGTTCTTCTCGGACTCGGATGTGACCCGTGCTTTCCTGGCAATCCGAACACCACCGGCTATCTTCTCGGCCGGCGCATGCCCTCCTTTGATTTGTTCGTTCTGTTCCTCTCCACTACTCATTGAGCGTTTTTAGCACTTCTAAAATATCGTGAATTTTTTTTTTCAAATTTCTACTGCCACACAGCGCACCAAAAAGCGCACCGCTTGTTGGTGCACAAATAAAAGGTCAGAAGCCTTTGTGTAAAAGGTAGTGGCAGACTGTAAGTGGTTGGAGCACCCGTGGACAATCCGTGGGATGTTTTTGGTAGCCCAAACTCGCAAATGAGGGAGCCATTCCATCTTTATTCAGTCTCTGCGACAGTTAACTGACAGTGAGCTGCCCCACTTCTTTCCGGCTACCCCCCTCTCAGCTGCCGTCCTCTAGCAACGGTGTCGCAGATCGCTACTCTGCGAGCCTTCAAAAGCCAGAGACTCGAGACACCCAGTATAACACTCTCTGAGCATCACTTGCTCAACACGATCCAATCCCTCACTCACACCTCCGATCATTCGATACTCGCAGTATTTAAATTATATA